TATGTTATTTACGATGTGAAACTGATCCTAACAGATGTTATTTACGATGTGAAGCTGATCCTAACAGATATGTTATTTACGATGTGCAGCTGATCCTAACAGATATGTTATTTACGATGTGAAACTGATCCTAACAGATATGTTATACGATGGTACTACTGGTACCCCTCCGCCAGTTGTTGTTATTTATGATTCCCACCAAGATATGTTTTGCTATTTCCGATGTACTGACAACTGAAAAAAATGTGTTCTTCCCAAACTGAATGAAGATAAAATCAGATTTATTGCGATTCCAGTGAACTGCTTCACTCAATCGATTTAGAATGACACATGAAGCATATTTTGCATTTGGGTCGTGAAAAAAGACACACATATTTGATGATTGTCTCGATAGGATTGATATTCGAAAAGAAACAAAGTGTTTGTTTCCGGGGACGCGTATAACGTGTGAAATTATCGATAGTCAGTGCAAAGCAATACCCAATCTCGACTATTCTCAGAAACAAATGACGTTTGGTGTAAAAATAAAAAAGACGTGAAATTTATATGAATGGATACCTGGTGTTCGCAAAAACGGTAAGCATGTCTGCCCTTCCGGTAGTACCGATGGACCGAACAATTATATCCAAGATATTTTTATGGATTAAACGTCTTTATAATTTCCCTCACGACGTTTCGAGACCATTCCAGGTCCCTTCATCAGGATGGAGGGACCTGGAATGGTCTCGAAACGTCGTGAGGGAAATTATAAAGAAGTTTGATCCATAAAAATATCTTTGACATCAATGTACAACTTCTAAATGCCACTGAAAAAAACCGAACAATTATAGATAGTTACACTTGTCAATTCTGTATGAATGGATCACTAAATGTCAGTGATGACACCGGGTGTTTGCGAAAAGCATGCCCCGCCCTGCCCTGCAGGAAGTAGCTGTTGTTCAAAATGTGCCAGTAAATGGAATTACGTATTGCCTGACACAATTCTGCAGTGCTTCTTTCATGCGACATCGGTCTGTAAACAAACCAGACAATCAAGTGATTGGTGGGCCGGAAAATCAGGCTAGATAATTGTGAGATTTCATGCATTGGAAGTAATTAGTAAATAAGTAAAGAAAAACGTTTTAAGAAATATTGATGTTTTATAACACATTGGGGTTCAGTTTTAATGTCTCGGACCAACCATGGGAGGGGTATAAATTCAACTGACCAGACAAATATAGTTTTTCATTAAAGTGTTGGGCTGGATTATCAGTGTTTTGGCAGACCAAGCCTTGATTAGGTCTTGATATAAGTTAGAACATTTCTCCATCACTCATACTCACTGCTGTGAGTTTCGATTAACACTGTTTGAAATAGTATTACAGTTATATCAGGATGGGATTAATGCCGATCATAGTGGTACAGGTCTAAATCGTTCGCCATTAGGTGAAACCCACTGCTTGCCCAAGGGACGCAACTCTGACGAAACTATTGCGGCGGGTAAGACGGCTGGGCCTCCTGCAGTGACACCGACAGTGTCCCAAGCAATGGTTTCGATACGACTATAGTAAACGCAACGAAAATACGGCAACATAGGTAGTCATAGAAAATACGTTTTCACACTCTCGGCCAATGGACTGTCATCATTCCTGTGTTCCAGATGGAAAGATCATCCCTTCTATCCCTTTGAGAAGTGAACGTGCACGGCACAGGATATCATACAGTCAGAGAATCGACGACGGTCAGAGTATTGCCTGCAGCAGTTGTTCCTGATATTTGTGTGATCGTCTTCAGTGTGAAACACATGTTGAATATTAAGAGGTTATTACATGACAGTTTTCCTGGCTGGCGAAAGGAAAACTGTTATTTTAAAACCTTTGTATCATATATCACATATGTAAATATTGAAACAGTGAAAAAATTACGATAAGAAGAAAAAATACTAAACTGTATACACTAAACGCCAAAAGAAACGTTACATTCCTAACTTTATGAATTATTTAAAAACTATCAAAGATATGTTAGAACGTATTAGTTTACAAGAAAGCTTAACAACACAGCTTTATGCAAATCACAAAACAATTCTCAATGCATTCATATTTAGGTGAAATGCATCTTTTTCAGAAGAGTTAAATTGTCCTATTTTCGACGAAATAAACCAATAACACTGATTTTGATGGCTAAAGGAAAGGTTAAAATAAAATTCCGCTTTGAGACAACGATGAAACATTTAAAGTCACCATTTTTCAACTACTAAAACAAGAAACAACTGTTGCAGAGTGTGTAAAATTGTAAAAGAATCTTTCCTATGATTTCAGTTTACACATAGCAATATCAAGCGCCCAAACGAAGCAATATTCAAGCAGAATTTGCAGCAATGTCACCTGTAGAAGGATTCTATAGGGTCTAAAGAGAGACTAGAATGCATAATATGATACACACGTACGAGACATATGCCACGTTTAAAAGCTGAAGAAAGAGAAAGAGCCATTGGGATGGTGTAGATTGGATCGTCATACAATGCTGTTGCCAACGCTTTCGAATGCCACCGTATGACGGTTATAAGACTTATTCAGCGCTACAGACAGACTGGGGTCACCGTAGACAGACCGAGAAGTGGACGTCCACGCATCAGCTGAAGATAGGTACCTGGGTAATTAATAATGGAGGGTAACGTTTGTTTTGGCTTAGTGTATTTATACAAATAACAATGGAATTTTCCAACACCAATTGTAAGCATCCATCATCATTTATCAGTCGCTGCTAGAATCGATTAGGTACCGAATTCTACGACGTTTTATGGTCGGATTGTTCATGATGTCACAGTTCATGTTTATGGTCAGTGCTCCCTCAATATAGGCGCCGGGTAGGAATCATGACCCTTATGATGAAGGAAGTGTTGAGTTGGATGTGTTCACGTTTAAGGGAAGTTCAATAACAGAGGGCGCGTCTTCTTCGTTTTGCAAAAGGCAAATTAATGCCAGAGGTTTCATGACTGTCCATATTCTCTAGACTGTCTTCCACTACGGCAGCTGCCGCGGCTAAGTCACCGTCATCATCATTCATCCATCCATTATCAACTACACTGACCTCAGACTTTGACATCGTTGACAATATATTGGTCATATCCTTATGTTGTTCTAAAGATGCTGAGCCATAGTTGTTTATGGATGTGACATTGTGACCTGTCACCTGCAAGATTTGGGTTGGTGCAATTCTACTGTGAAGAAGGCACATCACCGCCGTCTTCCGGGTGGAATGGTTAACTTTCCTGTCTTTGATGCCAGCCTCGGCGCACATGGTCTTCACATGTTTCCTATCCTGTTCTTTCCCATATTTTGGCGCGCAAACCAGACTTCCGAAGACCGCTGTTTAACTGTATGGTAAAACGCCGAATCAGGATTGCTGAAATCAGACGGGTGTCCCTTTACGTTTTCATTGTAGGCTTCAACTGGACAGTGTTTGTCATCTGAAAATAAATATTTATAGATATTTTTAAAGGCGGTTGAAATTAAACGGAATGCTGTTGTTCTATATTATTCTATTTTAGAATTTATGTTGTAGAGTTTTAGTTTAGATTTTTAGATTTTTTTTAGATTTAGTACTGTTTCATCCACACTATCACATAACTAAATCATAACATTCTTAAAATCTTTAGACCTGTCTCTAATCTGAAGTTCATATCCAAAATACTCGAGAGAGCTGTTCACATTCGTCTCAGGGAACACTTTTCTGTGTTTTCACTTTTGGATAAATTCCAATCGTCCTATAGATCGAACCACAGTGCAGGGTCGGCTATCCTCAGAGTGTCCAATGACAGCTGTTGATGAAGGCAAACTGGCTACTCTCATCTTCCTCGACCTCTCCTCTAACTTCGATACAATCGACCACCAACTCCTTCTGGGTATAGGGACAATTTGGCATCCATGGAGTGCCCTTAATCTGATTAAAATTTTCTCTTGAAAGCAGAAGTCAGGCTGTTATCCTAGAAAACATCCAATCACGAAGCTCCTTTGTCCACTGTGGTGGACCCCAGGGATCTGTACTTGGCCCGCTTCTTTTCAATAACATACACGACCAATGCGGCGGATACGATTGACAAGCATGGTGGTGTTATCCATCATTGGGAAGGAAATAATTTGTTTGTTCTGTCCCTCTACTGTGGAATTCTCTCCCTTTGGCCATAAAATCAGCAGTTGACTTAACCCCATTCAAACGTTTGCTGAAGACCCACCTGATTTCCTCTCATTACAACTAACTATATTTCCCTCCCTATTCATATGTATATTATTGTAACATGTCAGCGCTTTGAGCACGTGCCTTGTACATGGAAAAGGTGCGTTACAAAAGCACATTTATTATCATTATTATTTTACGGATCTATTATGGTTGTTGTTATTGTTGTCATACTGCTGCTGGTGTATTTTATGAACACGAGTCTTTTAGCAATTTTCTATATGAACTAATAAAAATTAATGATATTGTTCGCTTAGCGTTTTGTTTAAAACAACTAGTCCTGCTGTTACTGTTACTGATCACTGTGCTTGTCTCACTGTCTAGTCATCCCACATTCATCGCTTCATATGTTTCTCACATACAACAGGACATGACGTTGTAAGTAAGCATGCCTGTTGTCATGCCAACTCTGTTGAAAATCAGATATGAAAGCCGTCTGAAAATAGACTGTTGTTTCCGGTTTCAAAATCACTCATCAATCTTGTGTGGTCATTTACTGATATCGTAGTTAGGTTTTGAGGTGCAGATTATTATCTGAATCAACCTCTGCATTTCAATTTGAAAATCATCGCGTTGCAGTAACCTCATGCAGAAAATGTATGTCAATGTTATTTTTCAATATGTATAAATCTAATAAAATATGTATAAATGCAATATTCATCTTACAACAAACTGATGGACTAAGGCATAGAAACATATTGCTCCCCTCTACTCCTTGTCTCATGTTAGGATGATTTTATGACTATCTTTGACTTTGCATGCAGGCATGAAAAACCCTGTGTTATCAAGAATGTCAGGGTCACCGTGATCTGTAACAGACACGAATTCCAGTTTCTCTCGCCAGTCACGAATGTGCGAGTACTGTCCTCGGCCGGTCACCGATTGAGTGGACTGCTGACAAATTGGTTGTCGGCTTAGGTAAGTAGCTGTTACGTTGGCGCCTGTGTAACTGGTATGTAATCGTATGTAAACGAGAGACACAAATCTACTGAATGAAGGCCCGGTAGTTGCAGAGGATGATGCGATCACATGGGTTACATCTTGATGTATTTCTACATCAGTGACCTACATTGCTGCGTGGTTTGTTACACTCCGTCTACGCACTGGCGTGTCAACGCGGCAAATATTTGTTGTTGTTTGTGTTTCATATTGTTTCATATTTTCTCTTCACTTCTCTTAAATGCGAATGCTAGTCTGTACCATTCTCACGTTCAAATTGCAATTAAAACTACTACAATGTTGTCCAAATATTTTTCAGACCTCACACACGAGGAGGGAGCGGGAACTGTGAGTACTTGATGTTTACCGCCTAACTGAAACATGTTCGACTTTGGATCATAATCGTCACATAAAGGGAACGGTAGTGTTCCCCACCCCAATTTAACTGCGCAGTCCCCCCTAACACTAGACAAACACTCACCCAACCCATCTCTTGGTGTTCTGTTTTCCAGGGGCAGGTGGGATGGCCAAGTGGTTAAAGCCTTCGCTCCTCACGCCGAAGCTCCGGGTTCTATTCCCCAAATGGGTACAATGTGTGGAGCCCATTTCTGGTATCCCCCGCCGTGATTTTGCTGGAATATAGCTAAATGCGGATAAAACACAACTCACTCACTCACTCACTCACTCATATGCATGTTAGCGCCGTCTTGGAGATGGCATAAAAATGGAAGTCACTGTTCCTATGTTAATGTCAATGGGTATTTATCATGTCGGGTTTTTTTTTTTATTTTGATAACTGGTGTGGCCTTGACGAGTGAGCCCTTATCGACAAAACGCGTGTTGACAAGTCACTGCACCTGTGATCGACCGGCGGTTCAGTTGTGTTCAATTTTCTGTTTTATACCATAGCATGTACCAGTCAATGTAGCTGTATATATATTATTGTTTTCAATTTATTTATGATCAGTAGTTATTCATTGAATAATTTAGATGCGCTGTCTTAATTTATGTTTTTGTCAAGGTGCTGAGAGGGCGGTTTCAAGATGGCGGAAAAAGTACCTTCCATACGTCTTAACAGCGGATACGACATGCCTATGCTGGGCTTAGGGACCTACAACAGTTTCAAGGTTGGTAGTTGAACATATTATGTCAAAATATTACACGTTCAAGTAAATTATATAGAATGAATGAATGAATGAATGAATGAATGAAATTATATAGATAAGAATATAGATATGAACATGAAAGTTTGTATGAAGTTGATTGTGGTGGACATGTTTTGAATCTTGACCTCCCAGCAGATGTCTACTGTAGACTCGCAGGTAGATGCAGAATACCTCCGGGTACATGATGACAGTAGACTTCAGGAGGTTGTGGAATCTAGACCTCGGCTTAGATGTTCAATCTATAACTCTGGGAAGATCGAAGGCCTCCAGGCAGATGTTTACTGTAGACTCGCAGGTAGATGTGAATGTAGACCTCCGGGTACATGACGACAGTAGACTTCAGGATAGTTGTGGAATCTAGACCTCGGGGTAGATGTTCAATCTAGAACTCTGGGAAGATCGAAGGCCTCCAGGCAGATGTTTACTGTAGACTCGCAGGTAGATGTTCTGAATGTAGACCTCCGGGTACATGATGACAGTAGACTTCAGGATAGTTGTGGAATCTAGACCTCGGGGTAGATGTTCAATCTAGAACTCTGGGAAGATCGAAGGCCTCCAGGCAGATGTTTACTGTGGACACACAGGTAGATGTGAATGTAGACCTCCAGGTACGTGATGACAGTAGACTTCGGTGCTCCGTTTCACAAGCTGTCGTAGTGCTACGACTGTCGCAACTGTATGTTACAGTACAGGAGTTACGACAGTCGCAACGCTACGATAGCTTTGTGAAACAGGGCCCAGGATAGTTGTGGAATCTAGACCTCGGGGTATATGTTCAATCTAGAACTCTGGGAAGATTGAAGGCCTCCAGGCAGATGTTTGCTGTACACCTCCGGGCAGATGTTGACTGGAGACTTGCGTTTAGGTGTGGACTGTAGATATCGGGCAGATGCTGACTGTAGACACCAGAGAAGATGCGGACTGTAGACTCCCCGGTTGATGTTGCTATTGAATAATTTGTTGGCGATTAGTTTCATTTCAAAACCCACGAACCCAGCTGTGGTTCGGACAGACAAAGGATCATTATTGGGGAATGTGGAATTCAAATACACGGATCCTGGCACCACTAAAGGTCGCAATAGCCTTTAAAAGATAACATATATGCAGTGTTACACGTTATTCAACAATGTTTCAACAGTTATACAACAGTAAAGCAGTTAATGGATCCATTAAGGGGCAGTTGCGTGCCATATTTAGACTTGCGCTATATTTAGACATAGTTCTAGTCGCTTCCATCGCGTTCTCACCCACAGAACTTTTTAGAAACTTTTTTTTGTGTATATGAAGCGAGCTAGCTATTGCCCCTCATCTCACATTACATCACAAGTTACCAGAATACCAGCATTTTGTGTGATGGCCATATACCCTGCTTAGGCCTAGAGTTACTGGTCGGATTACCGTTGCTGAAGGTTAATATGCCTTTAATATATATTTATGGACTGTTATAATCACCGCTCGTGTATTATACTGCCTCTTGATATGTACTATTATATTTTGTAGTCTATGTTGTACTGTCATAGTACTAACTTTGTATTGATTTTATAACTTATTCAATTATAGAATGCAGTTGTTAATTACAGCACATTGTAATTTGTTTATTGGCTTCACACTCACTTCTTTTACGGACTCAGTAACAGTAGACACTCAATCTGTTTTTCCCAACAGCCAAACGAGGTTGGTGATGCAGTGAAGGCCGCAGTACAGATGGGATACCGCCATGTTGACACAGCCTTGATCTATAAAACGGAACCGGAAATTGGGGTCGCCGTTAAAGAACTGATAAAAGAAGGGAAAATAAAGAGGGAAGAGCTGTTTATTGTGACGAAGGTAGGATGTAAACAAGGTTAATTTGATACTGTCAACACCCTTTCACAACAGCTTTACATGTATGTCATCATTCTGGTGTGTTATCATTGCAGATGTGGGTGCACTGTCACGAACCAGATCAGGTGGAGCCAGCGTGTCGCCAGTCACTGGAGGCCCTAGACATGGATTATATAGATCTGTACCTAATACACTTTCCCGTGCCTTTCGTTGTGAGTCAAGACGTCTCTGCCTTTTGTGATTTAACCATCCATGTTGAAGTCGGATATCAAATTATTGGTTATCTAAATGTTATGAAATATTGACATAAATTTGTCAACAGTTTAGTCTTTATCTGAAGGTGCAATGGAAGTTTGAACTTAAGAGACCACTTTATACTAAAGATTAGTTATCAAACGATTGTTTGATGTATTTAATGTCGTAACGAGAATCATGTTTCATTCCAAAGGATATTGTATGTATATGTCTGCATAATTGTGTTTCCCCAGGACAGGGAACGGACCAAGCCGACCATGACGGACTACCTGGACACGTGGAAAGTAGGTGCCTCCAGCCCAACTCTAACACTGAACCGTATTAGTGTACGCTCACAAACGTGGTGTGCTTGTTGTTTAACGCCGCATTCAGCAATGTTCAAGCTATATCTGTGAATAATAAAGTCTGGATGAGGCAATCCAGTGACCAACATCATGAGCATCGATCTACGTAACTGGGAAACGGTGACACATGTCAAGTCAGCGAGTCTGACCTTCCGATCCCGTTTGACGTCTCTTACGACAAGCATGGGTTGCTGAAGACCAATGACAATCAGGATCTTCCTGGATTATGAACAGCACCGCCTCCCTTAGAAAACGAAACATGAGGAAAAGTCAAATCATGAAAATATACAATTCATTCAAAGTCAATTCAGTCAAAGTCAAAGCTGTGTAAGACAATGGGAAGGTATCAATACATACAGCAGAAACGAATCTGAATCTCAACTGCCACCACTCTAGTTGTTTTTAAGCTGTTCTGGTGTTGATGTTATTTGTACTTCAATTGTAAGTGTCCAATGAACATAAGAGGAACATACTTTAATGCTTCGTTGTAACTTATTTCATTGAAGAATATAGTTACCTTTGATTTTTTAAAAGCTTTAGAAAATACAAGATTTAAGTAAAATAATGTATTTTGTCTATGTGCCCAAAGGAACTTTGTTTAAAATGTTAGATATTTTCTGGATCCAATGATTACTTCTTTTACTCTGAGAATAACCTGTGGTAGGAACTCGTTATATATGGCAAGGGAATACATAAGGTACTTAATATCACTCTCCTCCCCCGCAGGCCATGGAGAAGCTCGTGGACAAGGGTCTTGTCAGGTCCATCGGTGTTTCCAACTTCAATAAACAACAACTGGAGAGGATACTCAAAATGGACGGTCTCAAGTACAAGCCTGCGAATAACCAGGTAGATATGACACCACATGATTCCCCATATAATGCTTCTAATATGCCCTGTGCTCGTGAGTTAACCAGACTAGTAAACATCCGATGCCTGCATCACTTCCCTAACACATGGTTCAAAGACCTGACATAGTGTTGACAACGTTGTTTGTTTCAGGTGGAGATAACTCCATATCTGGCAGAGGACGAACTTCTGCAGTTCTCCCTCAAGAACGGCATCTCAACTACTGGCTACGCGCCGTTCGGGGCACCAGGACAGAACTAGTAAGTTGAGTTATCTACGCCTTTGATGCCAGTAGCAAATGTCCTTGCCTACATGAACACTACCAAGCCAGCTGTCGTCCATTTTCCCTGTTGTAAGTCCAGCGCAGGTTTACAGAACTACATTGGGCAACAATGTCTAAAAATAGCATCCCACTGTGATGGTACCATCATACCAACTTTAAGGTAGATCGAGTATATATGAAGGATTACCTAAATGAAGCGTTATTTGCTTTTACAGAAATGTTTTACTTTCCAACCAACGAAATTTCACAGCTTCACACTGTCATGTGTGACATCGTGAAATACAACCGCCACTAGCGGTCACATCGGAAGTTAACGGAACGGATATTCATCACTTTTCAGCATGATTCGGGTCTGGATTTGATTCCAGTTCCTACATTACTGGATGTAACTTCCATTTCAAGTGTAGCACCAAGGACGTAACCCAAATGCACTTGTAGTAACGTTACGATGACGCCTCGACAGAAACTACTATCCGCGTAAATTAAGTTGGCTTTAAATAATTACGTTTTGTGTTTCATTGGCTTGTCTTGTTAAGATCTCCTGATGAACGTCAACAAACACACCTGCGCATTTTAGAGAATTGTTACAAACACACTCACTACCACACCAGGAAGAGTACCTTTATCAAAGAGTTCAAATGGAGAGTTGTTTTGTGTTAATCCCCAAGCTATGTACGTCCAGATCTAATCTGTGTACAAAATCAATAAATAGTTAACATATTTGCTATACCAAGCCTGCACTGACGAGCTCATCGATGAGTCTTACCATCAAATATTTCAGTATATCCAAAGACGTACCAAAGCTGCTTAGTTCCATATAACAGTTAAACACAGTTATAACTGTCAGAAGACAGCATGAGAATTCCGACACGACCCTGCATTGCAGAGCTCTTTGATGACGCTTGCCTTCATATATTTCAGTGTATCCAAGGATGCACCCAAACCTCTGGAAAACCCGACCATTGTCGAAATAGGAAGGAAATACAACAAATCCTCAGCTCAGGTATACTGTCTTTTTAAAATAATATGCCAAAGAGTCACCCATACATACATCTTAATTATACCATGACTTTGGACAGTCAGAGGTTACATATTGCAGCAATAACATATATTGATAGGGACTTTCTAATAGTTGTATTCAGTCACGTTGTTATGAGAGTGTGTGTTTTGTATTTTGTAATATCACGTTGATTAAGTGATAGTTATTATGGGTCACAATGTTTAAAGTTTTGAGTGTGGGTTGTGGCTCACATCTCAAATCATATATGTTCCATGGCAATAGTCTTTTTAGCGGCACGCCTTTTTGATAGCGCTTCAGAGTTGCCTCTATTGGCTGGCTTTATTTTGCTTTGACTTCCGGGTCTTGTCACGTCTTGTGTATACGATGGCTTTCGTGAATGTTCGTGAGTGTATAACGACGGAGCCTAGTTTTGCTAGAATGCTCGAGAACTCTGCAAGAGCTATGCAAAGGCTGGTTGTTGCGTTGTGCGACGGGACTTATCACATCACTGGAGTTATACACATCTGTCTGCCATCGTCAAGCTGACCTACATTTCAAGACTGACCGTGCTCGTCTATATTCAACTATTGTCATTGTAAACAACCTTCAATCAGTATATTTGTTCTCACTGTGAATGTCAAGACTCTGGTGAGCTAATATGTTATATTTGTGACGCAATACTGTAGATTTGTGACTCAATTACATTGTACTAGATATCAGTATTGTCATTCATTGTCGCTTGCTCATTGTTTGCTCAATATATTATTGAATATTTTAGACTTGTCTGTTTTCTATTTTGCTTGTTCAAAGGGGATTCTTAAACCTTTTGTCACGGCAAATATTAACCGTAACAACGTATGTAGTGGATTGCGGTGGTATGTAACAAACAGGTGCAACAGAGAGGTGTGTCATCTTTTCTTGCTTTAAATGGGAGAATATAAACCCCATTGGCTCAGGTCACAATCAGGCGATGTCTGCAGGGGACATAAAGGCACTGTTACGTATATTATGGGCGAGGCGTCCATGCATGTCTTACATGTGTCATGACGTCTTACGTTACTGGTGCTTACGTCGTTCACTGACGGCCCAATGTCGATGTTTATCTCAGAGTTGAGTAGGTGAATATCTATGGAATAACCAACATTGGTGACAACAGTGTTTTTAGTCATTTAAGTGGCGGATGCTACCAGCAGGTGAGGACATGCAAACACCTGGTGTTCAGTGGATACTCTAGACTGGTTTTTTCTTTGCGTTGACAGAAGTATAAAGAAGATATTGGATGTTTTGGTTTTAATATTCAATTACTGTCTAACTGGTATTTAATGTTTCTTTAGCAACCGCCAATTAATCAGGTTTTCTGTTCCAGAAGACACACTTTAGACACGCGTATATGGAGATGTGTTTTCCATTTTGTTCACTATTTCTGCACCACAACTGAGTTATTTACGATGTAATAACAACAAATATGTTATTTATGATATGTAATACGTGTTCTGACATATTTGTTATTGACGATGTAATACTGTTCTCAACAGAAATGTACCCGTGAAGATCCGGGTTAGAATGACCCTTCAGTAACCCATGCTTGTCGTAAGAGGCGACTAACGGGATCGGGTGGTCAGGCTCGCTGGCTTGGTTGACACATGTCATCGGTTCCCAATTGAGCAGATAGATTCTCATGCTGATGATCACTGGATTGTCTGGTCCAGACTCGATTATTTATAAACTGCCGCCATATAGCTGGAATATTGCTGAGTGTGGCATAAAACTAAACTCACTCACTCACTCAACAGAAATGTCACAGACGATGTTCTGCAGCTTCTGCTAGATGTGGAGATTTGTTGGATGTACCCTCCCCCTGTAGAAAGGTTGTTATATATGATTCCAAACAAGATATCTTTTACTATTTCCGATGTACTACAGGTGATCCTCAGATATGGCATACAGAGAGGCTATGCTGTAATTCCCAAGAGTACGAATCCAGCTCGTCTGGCCCAGAACATGGATGTGAGTATTTGTTCTCTTTTGAACTATACTTTCCATCAAAAGTTTAGACTCACTGAAAACAGTCATTACATGTTAGGTATATATATGGTTATATCGAAGATTGATTTCTCCACTAACTAGGGGGAACCAACTGCAAACCTGATGCAGATGAATTGCACGAGGATCATGCATCAAACTGCTGAAAAGCATGTGCTAATATTATACATGTGACCAGGTGTGTTTTGGTGTAAAGTTTTGTTAGGAATTCGCCAATTTACTGAGTTTTATCATTTCTTGAACTCATGACTCTTTTCAACTGTACGAAGTTGTTTTACAATACATCAGTTCAGGTTTAAACAGTATCTTTAAACAGTATGGAATATTTTGCAAAATTTCAATAAGAACAGTTGACTGAAGCAAGTGGCTATATTTACATTTGTGAGTCTAAACTTTTAATAGGAAGTATATGTAATAATTCACAGGAACATGTGGCCTAGTTCGCTGCGTGTGTTTTGACTGTCTATATAATCTGCTGTTCTCAAGAGAAAACAAGGGACCCACAGATAAAAAAAATGTTTTCTTCCCATATTGAATGAAGATAAAACCAGGTTTTATTGATATTCCAGCGAAATGCCTTACTCACTATCTATACACGTGAAGTGTATTTTGCATGTTGTTTCACATATCAAATCTACTTGTTTCAGATATTTGACTACAAGCTCAGTGAGGAGGATATGAAGACAATGCTAGCTCTGGACAGAGGCCTTAGAAACAACTTTCAAACATTCAAGTAATCACAGTTGTTTATGTCAGTCCATAGAGGAGGGTGATGAGAACATGTACACTTATTTTAGGCTTATGTTGGTAGGATGGACTGACTGACTGAGTTTGGTTTTACGCCGCTTTTAGCAATATTCCAGCAATATCAAGGCGGGGGACACCAGAAATGGGCTTCACTCATTGTACCCATGTGGGGATTCGAACGGCGTGACGAGCCGACGCTTTAACCACTAGACTACCCCACCGCCCCAGGATGGACTTTAAGTAACAAACATAAAGTGCTTTTGTAGTTTGTTTCGGGGACATGTAAAAAGTGTAAAACAATACCCTATTTTGATTATTTTCCGAAACATATTCTGTTTGGTGTAAAGTACAAAAACATGGTGTCAAAAATATTTGAATGTATTACAAAAATCAGGGTTTGTGGTGTTTGTGACAAACCAGACAAGCAAGTGATTGATGGTCTGGAACATACAGTTAGATTGTGAGCTTCAGATGCAAATAGGTAAAGAAACACGGGAAATGCTTTTGGTTTTTGAACATATTGGAGCTCAGTTTAATATTGGAGGGGTATAAATTCAACTGACCCAGAAAAATATATATACTCAGGGAAACGAAAAAGGGAAAGTACAAGTGTTCCTTTATTCTTTTCCAGGTTTCTTCACAAAGTATGTATTGCACTGTGGGTGGAATTATATAAAGGAACACTTGTACTCTATGCGTTTCCTTATTCGTTTCTATGGGTACATTTTGTCAGTAGTGTTGGGTTGGAACATCAGTAGTGGTTTTGCATTTCTTAGAGTTAGAGCAATTCTCTATCACTCGTACTCATTTGCCAAAGGGGCGCAACTCTGTTGAGAATCGCGTAAGACGACTGGACCACCTGTAGTGAAAATACATACTGTATGCGGACAATTTTCTCAAAGCAATTGTTTCGATACGACTACCGTACAGGTAAAGAAAATACGGTAACATATGGTGGTGATAGAAAATACGTTGAACGTCATACTCTCGTCCAATCAACTGTCATGCTTCCTGTGTTCCAGATGGAAAGATCATCCCTTCTTTCCCTATAAGGAGTGACCTTGGACGGTGCTGAAGATCACACGGTCAGACAATCGACGAGGTCGACGACGACTATTCTCTGCACCAGTTGTTCCTGATATTTGTGTGATCGTCTTCAATGTGTAGCAAACACATGTTGAATATAATTAATGTGTCTAATATGAATGTGTCATAAGGGACCGTTCATAATTAATGGCTAGAGGGGTTGATGATGATTTTAAGGGGGGGGGAAGGGGCACCCATTTGTCCTGGGGAGCATAATTACACAACAAATGTACACACCGATTCATTCACCTTTGTAATAATGTAGCGATTTGTGCTTGCTTTATTGGCGTTCTTAAAATCCTTAAAATGATGCACAGTATAAATGGTACAAAAGTGGATGTGGATATATTGTACCTCCGCGTAACTTTTATGTTACGAGGAATATTACAAACTAAAACAATAGTTAGAATAACCCAGTTTACCCTGTGTTATACAATTATTCAAATTTCTGAACCGATATGTAATGGTTGTTTCTGCTGTTGTTGTTGTTAGTAGTGCTGTTTTCATACTGCTGCTGTTTGAAATTCTTTACGTGTGAACTTGTTTGGTAATATATGACAAGTACGTGTAATCAGATTGTTCACTTAGGTTAATGTTTTAAAATACTATGACGTCAAAAACTAGTCCTGTTGTTACTGAGAGTGAGATCGTGTCATTGTATGGTCATCCGACATTCGTAGCTTCATATTGTTCACATATGAACAATAATGTTAACATATTGATTTTGATAACATCTGGATTATGTTTTCATCATGTTTGCTTTTTCGTCCTTCCTAAAGGATTTAAAATGTAAACTATGGTTTGTGATATGTCTAATATACATACAATTCAAAGAGCATTTAGATATATGTAAGTAGGAGATATTGTGAATCCTGGCCTTGATTTGACTTGCGTTTTGACCATTTACCAAACCTATCTCCTATGAACCTATGAATAAAGTTCATCACTGAACAAGCATCATCTCCTCTGTAACAGCAGGGTTAACGAGTCTGAACTTTGTCATGGATAGTTCTACTTATGATGGCATAAAGTTTTTCTAAATATCATTGGAACCTAATCGAACTCTTTTTGTGGAAATTATTGAATGAAGCAAAACGAAACTTGCAAAAATGTTCGTATTTCTTTCGTCTGAAACCACAAAGAATGGACATTTGGGTCCAATCCACACAGCGATCATACGATCATGTTATTATGTCTTGATTCACCTAACGAAGGAGCAAGGAATAGCCCCGAAACATTGTGTATACAATAAAGAAGAAGTTGACATCGATAATATTGTGTCTTATACTAGATCATGTTAAACTATAAGAGTCTTGATCGTAGTTGCTATTGCCTGGAACCATTCTGTGCATAATAATTTCTCGAGGACAAAACATGGTCACGTGAGACATTATTTCCTGTAGACAAAGAGTCCGGCATCTCTGATATATGCACAGAACATATTTGAATATCAACGCTGGCAACATGTGAGGTGTCTGTATGTGTTCATATTATAATCTGTTGACAGATTATGTATGTGCGCACAGTGCACTGGCTCTCTGTTTCATATCTGGGCTTGACGATATTAACATATAGTATTAGACACAAAATACATCAGGGTTTGACATCACTCAGACTTCTACATAAGATAATAACATGCATCATATCATCCTGATGTTAAAAGAAGGAAATCCAAAACGGGATTTTCAAGGGATACCAATAAAGTCAATGTTATTTGTCTAAAAAGAAAAGATAAATTCACACCACATGAAGCATGTGTAAGTCTTGAGGAATGTTCGTAAGTACTTTCGTTCGGGAAACACCCGAAGACAATTTATGCTGTATTCGCAAAAGGAAGGAAGGAGTGTGGAGTATACCAATGGGCAGGGTGTGATCCGTGTATTGACCTTTAGCGTCCACGATAACCACATTAGCATCTTACTTGGCCTTAAATCAAGTAAGGTCTCCACCCGTGAAGGTCCGGATTAGAATCGATCTTCAGTAACCCATGCTTGTCGTAAGAGGCGAATAACTGGGTTGACATATGTCATCGTATCCCAATTGCGTAGATCGATGCTCATGCTGTTGATCCCTGGATTGTCTGGCCCAGACTCAATTATTTACAGACCACCGCCATATAGCTGGAATATTGCTGAGTGCGGCGTAAAACTTAACTCACTCACTAAATCAGTCTCCACATATAAAAAACAATATATAAAATATACATGTTGGAATATGCAATGTGATATGTTCAAAGTTTTGCTGCAGTACTTCTATCACGTGACCATTGCGTGCCTGTCACCTCCAGAAGAAGCTGAAAACGTGAGACCAGTATTTACTGACTATGGCGTCATCACTAATGACATCACGCAGCGACGAGATCACTCATAATAAGCGTGGCACTGCTGCGATGTAAACCATACCACGTGCTTCTACAACATCCAAAATCATGAAGTAATGAAACACCACAGAATTATTCGGAAAAAAAGCTGTACCTTAAATGATTTGAATCGTATTCATACATTGCATGATCTGTTGCCATTTAAAACTGTTCGTTATTCAACAATGTCGTACTAAGGGGAGGAAGTTCTCTCCCCTTCTCCTTGTCACATGTTAGGATGACCAAACTGACACAATATATATTTTGGATTACTCCTAAATTTATACTCTCCCAAAAAAGAAACGCATCATGAAAATAGCAATTTCATGTAGCAATGAATTTAAACGTGATTCATTTTACAAAAGGTTTTGCTCTGTTTATGAGTCCTATGGTGTTTATGTTTTGAAACATCACAACAAAACGCACCATCCGTAAAATACCCGTATTTAACAGCATGATTGTCAATTTCGGCGTGTAGTGTCACAGAATACACAATTCACATGCAAAGCACGTGAAAGTTGGGGATCAGATAGTCTCAATGATGGGTATAAAAGGTTGATCGCTGTCTGTCGATTATTCACTGTATTTGGAATATTGTTGACTAACGCAAAATGCCACGTCTAAGTGAAGCCAACCGTCATATCGCCATTGGTTTGCTTGAAGCTGGCCAGTCTCAACGTGCAGTTGCCCGACGCATGAATGTTCACCAAAGCACCATTTCACGGCTCTGGCAGAGATATCGCCGGCAGAATGTGTAGCAGATGCCCCTCGTAGTGGGCGGCCTCGAGCGACCACTGCGGCGCAGGATCGCTACATCCGGGTTCATCACCTGCGTCATCGAATAGCTACGTCGACCAGTACCGCTCGACAAATACCCGGATTGAGGAGGCTTTCTGCACAGACCGCCAGGAGCAGGTTGAGAGAGGCTGATTTACGTGCCAGAAGACCTTATTTTGGCCCTGTGCTTCGACAACAACATCGTCGACATCGAGTTCAATGGTGCACCAACGTTCAGGCCTCGAACCTACCGAATTGGAGTAGAATCTGGTTCAGTGATGAATCATGATTTCTACTGGAACGACGCGATGTAAGAATGCGGGTGTACAGACGTCGACGTGAACGTTTCGCCGACGCTTGCGTTCCCCAGTTTGACAGATTCGGACGGGGAAGTGTTATGATGTGGGGAGCGATCACCTACCATAGGAGAAGTGATTTGGTGATGATCCAGGGCAACCTGACAGCTCAACGGTACTGTAACGAAATCCTACGCCCACACCTCCTTCAAATCATTGATCGCCAGAGGGAGTTGTTTCAACAGGACAATGCCAGGCCCCACACAGCACGTCACACTAGAGACTTCCTCCAGAACCACAACATCAACGTGCTCCCCTGGCCCTCAAGATCACCGGACTTAAACCCGATCGAACATCTGTGGGATGCCCTGGACAGACGGGTGCGACGCCGTAACCCTCAGCCCCAGACACTTCAGCAACTCGCACAGGCACTACAGGCAGAGTGGGCTGCGATTGGGCAACACGAGATTCTGAGACTTATTCGTTCGATGCCGAGGCGATGCCGTCCAGTTCTGGATGCCCACGGTGGTCACACGAGGTATTGACTTCAGCGCCACCACACATCTGAATGTGACATTCAAACTGACTTTCCTCGAGTTGGTACCAAAGACGGATAAGCCTGCATTCCCAGTGTGCAATTTCGCTATATTTCATTGACTCATAAAGCCTACAAGATGTTTCATAATAAACATAAAAATACAGTTGAAATTCCTATATGCGTTTCTTTTTTGGGAGAGTATATATGCCTGACAAATCTGTGCCTCATCACGAATGTCGGAGTTTCGTTAATCTTGTGTTAATCACAGGAGCAGCAGTTTTTCACTACAGTCATGCATGTGCGAGCACTGTTGACACAATGGTAGGTCACAAGTGACAAATGCATGTGGACTTCGTCAGACTTCACACACTGGGATTAAAGCATGGAGTGTGACTAAAATACCTGATGTTTACCGCTTTAATGAACCCCATTCGACATTGGTTCGCAATCGTCGCAGTGGAATTAAATAAAGCGAACCGATCACTGATCACAAGGTGATCCCTCTCACCCACCCAGCCTTTCCTAGCTCCACGCGAAAGTTTGACATGCATGTTTGCACTGTCTTAGAGATAACAAAAATGCAAGTCATTGTGAGTACGTGAAAAATTTCATTGGATATTTACCCAAGCGTTTTTTAAATTTGAAGAGCCGGTGTTGTCCCGGTGAACTTTTTCGGTGAACTCTGTTGGACAGAAAGCTTGTTGACAAGGCCTTGCATCTGTGATCGTAAGTTGTATATACTTTTCTGTTGTATACAATAGTATGTGCCAATATTCATTGTTGCTGAACAGATACATTGCTGACATTAAATGTATGACCATGAATTATTCATTGAACAATTCAGGTGTTTTTTTTGCATATTTTTGTCAAGGTGCTAAGAGGGCAGTTTCAAGATGGCGGACAAAGTACCATCCATACGAATGAACAGTGGATACGACATGCCTATGCTGGGCTTAGGAACCTTCAACAGTTTCCGGGTTTGTAGCTCAAACTATTATGTATGAATATTACACATTCAGTTACATCCCATTTAGGTACACCTCAAGGTAGATTTGTGTGCAGACTCTTTCAGTGTTGGCACAACACCCCACCCCCCACCCCAAGTTTACAGTACACAACCTTGTGCACTTAAGAGAACCCAGGAATCCATTGGTAAATGACCAAATGGTGGCCACCGAAATACATACAAACACCTACTTGCGGGTACAAAGTACTGTTGCTATGTGTCCCAGTCCACCCAGCTGTGAATGGGTACCTCGTAAGGATGGGAAAGCCACATTAACTCGGTGCGCCTAGTGGCTGCAAGAGTTGTATGATCCCCAGGGAGTTGTGATTGATAGTACGATCTGCCGTTGAGATTGCCATCCAATGATCGAGGGGAAAATACCAGCGCCTTGAGCATGTACTAGTTGCATGGATATGTGGGCTTTATAAATATCCTAGTAAGTAAAATAAAGGCACATATGGACTGTAGATTCAAGGTAACCTCAGTTGTCACGGCATGTCAGCTATATTTTGTAGGCGATTAAGGTTGCACTCATTTTCCATTTCGTTCAAAGTATATGAACCGGTTATGATTCTGACAGACCAAGGATAATAATTTTGGAAATCTGGAATTTGTATACATGCATCATGACACGACAAATCCGTACATCCCCCAACATGCAACATATATGTAGATTATCAATATGTGTTCCTCAACAGTCCAATGAGGTTGGTGATGCCGTGAAAACTGCAATACAAATTGGATACCGCCATATTGACACAGCCTGGATGTATCAAACGGAACCGGAAATCGGCGCCACCATTAAAAAAATGATAAAAGAAGGAAAAGTGAAGAGGGAAGGGCTGTTCATTGTGACTAAGGTAGGAAGAGAGTGTTGCCATGCTTGTCATCTAAGCCTGTCTCACCAAACAAACCTCGTTATCTGATTTGATGATTAACAGATTATGGGTGTACATTATGTATATATATCTTGTAGTTGCGGTCACAATGGGTTCCAGTTTAACCTAATCCGGACTAACAAGGTTCTATTTTATGATATGTACACTCTGTAACTACTGAATATACGTCTCTTCAGTATAAGCGGCATGCCAAGGGCTCATTATTTCTAATGATTATCTACGTTATCAGTCGCCCGTGTTATCATTGCAGATGTGGGTTCACTGTCATGAACCAGATCAGGTGGAGCCAGCGTGTCGGATGTCACTGGAGGCCCTAGACATGGATTATATAGATCTGTATCTAATACACTTTCCTATTGCTTTTGCTGTGAGTTAAGAAGTCTGTCTTTCACTGTTTAACCATCGAAGCTGTAGCAATCAGGACTGACATACTGAAGTATGATTTTAAATTATTGAAGTATAAATGTAACGAAATGAAGACACTTTAGTCTTCATGCGAAGGTGGACCGACGTAGTTAAATTGGAGTTTAACACGTAATCAGCAGTACATAATTTAGCTCGTAATCTTGAGAGAGCGTTCTCAGGATCAACATCTACTTTCAGATAGATATCAAATTCTTCCGCTCTCTTCCTCTTCTAAGAACAATTTTGTACATTCCATGCGCCATGTGCAGGCGCTGACGCCTTTAGAAATAGTCACTATTGTTATTATTTATTATTTAAAATTACTTTATCCTTTCGTGTTGGTGTCAACAGAATTGTGTTTCCCTAGGACGAGGGGATGTCCATGCCTACCAAGACGGACTACCTGGACACATGGAGAGTAAGTAGCCTCCAGCCTAACTCCTACAGGGAGAACACACTAAACCATTAGGTGATACGTACATTGCAAAGTTAGGCGCTGAGTAAAACAAATGAATACACAAAATCGTTACAAATACATAAACAAATTATTGTCCACACAACTTACACGACAGTGCTCTGAATGCACAAGTGGTCTTGACAATATTTGTAGTTTACTGGTAAGTAAACATGATATAGAGGAAAAGGCTTTGCTGAAGATTACTGCATTGGATGCAATATTGAAAATACTAGTAAAATCCCTATACGTAGTAAAATAATGAATTGTGGATAGGGATCAATGTTCGAAGAATCTCTCTATATATAAGCTACCTAATACCACTCTCCTCCCTAACAGGCGATGGAGAAGCTGGTGGACAAGGGCCTTGTAAGGTCTATAGGCGTCTCAAACTTCAATGCACAACAACTGGATAGGATTCTAAAAATGGACGGTCTCAAGTACAAACCTGCAAACAACCAGGTACATAGTATTTGATGTTATATGACACCATGGAATCTTCCTTTTTATGCTTTTAATATGCCCAGAGCTCGAGTGGATCGCCAAAAGGGTAAGCGTCTGAGAATAATCTGTAAATAATCGAGTCTGGACCAACTGGGATACGATGACATGTATCAACCAAGTCAGCTAGCCTCACCACCTGATCCCGATAGTCGTCTCTTACGACAAGCATGGGTTACTGAAGATCAATTCTCACCCGGATCTTCACGGGTGGTAGTATGAGTGTAATACTGTTACAAGCGTTATGAAAACCTAGTTAAGTCACTCTTATTCAGACCTGACACGGTGTTGACAACGTTGTTTGTTTCAGGTGGAGATATCTCCATATCTGGCCCAGGAAGAACTGCTGCGATTCTCCCTCAAGAACGGCATCTCAACCACTGCCTTTGCTCCATTCGGGGCACCGGGACAGAGCTAGTAAGTTGAGTTATATTCTCCTATATCAATGTTGCAAAACACTTCTGGCAAACTTCGGAAACACTCTGACGACCACAAATTGAGCAGTGAGGTTTTACATGTTGATTCCCAATTTGAGACGAACGTTAACTCAGACGTTGGAACGTCCAGAAATTAAATGTGTTAAAATTGTATACAAAAATCAATAAAGAGTTAACAAGTCACATTGAGACGCACTGGATTTTGCCGTACAATTACAATATTATGCGTTAGATATGCGGCAGTTAGATATAAGCCCATACACGGCAATCTTCCATAACCGGAAGTATTACAATACGGCTTTTGTGTCGGCAATATGTCGATATTTTGGGACGGGCTCCCATCTACACATAAGTGCTCATTAGTTCTCATCTCGCTTATATATAGGCACACAAAATTTTACGAACGCTTCAATTTGCTGTTACAACAAAACTCCAATATATGCCACCCATCAAAAGTTTACACTCACTTAAAGCACTCACTATATGTTAAATATATATATATATATATATGTATATATATATATATATATATGTGTGTGTGTGTGTGTGTGTGTGGTTACGTCGAAATTTATCAACTTGGGGGAACCAACTGCAAACCATATGCAGATGATTTGCACGAGGATCATGCACCAATTTTGCTGAAAAGCATTACTGTGCAAATATCGTGCATGTGAACAGGTGCGTTTCCGTGTGAAGTTTTGTTAAGAATTCACCAATGTTCATTGGGTTTCATCATTTATTTAGATCATGAAAATAATCTTTTCAACGTTATGAATTTGTTTTACAATGCATCAGTTCATGTGTCAATAGTACCCTTAAACTATATAGAATATTTTGCAAAATCTAGTTTAGATCAGTTGACTGAAGTAAGTGGTTATATTTACACTAGTCAGTCTAAACTTTTGATGGGGAGTGTAATATTCCGTTATCATTTACATAACAAAAAGCATCCGATATGTACTAATTCCAAATAGCAGTTAAATAATGTCGATTGCATACGACAGCACGAGTATTTCCTACATCTAGAATGCTCTGGAGAGAGCATTCATGACTCTTACCTTCATATATTCCAGTGTATCCGAGGATGCTCCCAAACCCCTCGAAAACCGGACCATTGTCGAAATCGGAAGGAAATACAACAAATCATCAGCTCAGGTATATTCAGTCTGTCTGAGACATAAATGATGTGCCAAAGAGTAGCACATGTACTCTTGATGCTTATTTCTCCACGGATATAATTTGTTATCACTTCTAACCCAAAGTTTTCTCGTTTGCACCAGGTGATCCTCAGATGGGGCGTACAGAGAGGTTTTGCTTTAGTTCCCAAGAGTACGAATCCATCTCGTCTGGCCCAGAACATGGATGTGAGTGTTCGTTATCTTTCAGAACCCAAAAACAGAACTTAACAATTCAAACAGGATTACGTGTCGTGAATTTGATGTTCGTAAGAGAACATAAGCGCCAGACAGCTAAAATGGTTTCTTTCCGACATTGAATGAAAGGGAAATCATATTCCTTGTGATTCACTGAGTATATGTGAAATGACCCGTAAAGCTTATTTTTCATGTTGTTTCACATATCAAACCAACATGTTTCAGATATTTGATTTCAAGCTCAGCGAGGAGGATATGAAGGCAATACTAGCTCTAGACAGAGGCTACAGAGTCAACCTTCCAAATTTCATTGAGTGAGTACAATTTTTCATGACGGTATCTATGCGAGGGTCATAAAAATAATACACATATATGTGGATTGTCAATTCATCCAGAAAATATATGTTTGTATAACAGTGTTGGGCTGGAAATGTACTGTTTGGACTGGTCAAGATTTGAGTATAGTTTCGATATAGTTATAACTTTAATATTTCTCCAGCATGAGTAACTCGGTTTGGATTTGGAGTTCGATCCCCGACCGCGTCATACCAAAACACGTTAAAATGTGGTACTTGTTGGTCCCTGCCTGGCGCTCTGCATTAATAATTGGTACAACAAGGACTGGTCGGCTCGGAGTCAGTAATGTGTCAAAGGGGGTATTCATGCTTAACTGTATGGTATCTCAGAGAGCTAGCACTATAAAACCAGTTTAAATCTGGGCTAGTACACGCAGCCACACATACACACGGATGCACGTCGTCATATGTGCGAAATATTCTTAAGTACGACGTTAAACCCCATTTCACCTCACCTCACCTCACCCAGACGTTCCCCTTTTTGGTGAAACCCACCGCTTGCTCATGGGAGGCAACTCTGTCGAGACAATTGCGGCGTGTAACACGATACGATCCTCTTATAACAGTGCTAAGCATCATACTGATATTTTCCTCAAAGCAATAGTTTCACGTAACGCCAATAAGCCAACATGGGTTTATGTGAGAAGTATCATAAGCGGACTTGAAAGTAGCATTTCCCAGTCCATTCAACCATCATCATTCCTGTGTTCCAGATGGAAAGATCATCCCTTCTATCCCTATGAGAAGTGAGCTTGCACGGCACGGAAGACTCACGGTCAGACAATTGACGTCGGTCAGAGTATTGTCTGCATAAGTCGTTCCTTTATTTTTGTGATCGTCCTCAATGTGGAACAAGTTGAATATAATTGTAGGTGTGTCGAATACAAATTTGTCATAATGCTATTGTGTTATAAGGAATGAAAATCAAGTACACACCGATTTATTTACCTGGGTAATAATGTAAATAATGCAGCGATTTGTGCCTTCTTTAAAGGGTAGAATTGACGCATTATTTAAAGATGAATAGTAGAAGTAGTTGTAGCAGTGGTAGTAGTTGTGGTTTGTTGTTGTTTACAGCCACACAGAGAAATATTCCAGCGGTTTGTTAATAATAGAATGTGAACCACACCAAACGGTGATTGTCATCATGAGCATCGATCTGCACGATTGGAGTACGATGACTATCAAACAAGCCAGTCTGCCTGATTGCCGAACATGTTAAAGATCAGTTCTAGTCGCAAATCTGTGATAAATAGTTCAATGCTTCATGGCGACACTCAACGAAACTTCGTAAATGGTACCCAGGTGTAAATATTGTACTTTGCAGCCACTTTCACCTTTATGTCACAGGAAATGTTTTAAGACTAAATCAATGGTTTGAATATCCTACGTAATACAACGGTAAAAACAATCTGTATCGAAACTTCGCACTCATGAAATTAATACAAAACTGTGTTATCTATAAAGTTTGTCAGTATTCTACGTTATACAATTGTTTTAGTTGCATTTAGCTTAATGTCTTTCTCTGGTCATCCGGTGATGTATGCAGGGATGTACATAAGTATGGAGCTTTATATCTCTTGTTATAGTTTGCGTTTATAGTGTTAATGTACTGTTTTGTATTCAAATACACATAAGATGCGAATAAAAATTATAAAGTACCCCGGTATTTGGTATTGGACTTATCACTTTAACATACGGTCGGCAGACCGAAATAAAATATATGGCCCATGATAAACTCGATCGTTCGAGATGTTTCTTGAAGGAACACTTTCTTGACGGCTGATTGTACCGGTATGAGGGCACAGGAAAGCTATTCGAGTCCTCTTCGGCCAGACTTGTTTCTTATCTACTTGCCAGGTTTTCAGATAATATTGCCTGTTTGGAAACACAGACGTATATTACCAGTTTTCAAAACAAATGCAGATTAACAAATGACGACAGACTTCTTGCCCAAACTCTCATATGTCGACATTCGTGATTGCACTAGCATTATTTCCAGGGCCCATCGTCACTCTTTTCAACCACTGAAGGACACATATACTGTAAACATATAACTGAGAATATTTGAAATATATACATAAATCATTAATCACTCATCGATCTTGTCAGGTCGTTTTCTGATGTCGTAGTTTAGGTTTTCAATTTGAAAATCATCTCGTTGCAGTTACCTCATGCAGTAAAGTCACATCAAAGTGTTATTTTAAAATCCTTCCATGGAAATAAAGTACATATATACACAATACTCATCTCTAGACAAAGTCATGGACGTTTACAGTAATTGGAATGTTTCGGTAATATTTACAGTTATATTAAAAATATAACGAGGAATATTTTAATATTTATCATTATTCACTTATGTATCCTGTGTGTCATTAACTGATGTCACAGTTTTGGTTTCTAGATGCATATATCTGGATTAAGTTCTCCGTTTTAATTTGGGATATTCATCTTAAATCAAACTGATGGAAATCTTCAGTAATTAGGATGTTCCTGTAATATGTATCTAGGGACCAGTCATTTATTACGGGGGTGGGCGGTTTATGATGCACTAGGCACAGAAAATCATTACTCCCCTCCTCACCTTGTCACACATTAGGATGACCCAGCTGACACAAAACATGTCTGAGATTATTCTTGAATTTGCAATCCTGAAAACTTTCTGTTATCACGAGTGTCAGTACACTTCCACAACAGCGTTATATGTACGTCATCATTGCAGATGTGGGTTCACTGTCACGAACCAGATCAGGTGGAGCCAACGTGTCGGATGTCACTGGAGGCCCTAGACATGGATTACATAGATCTGTATCTCATACACTTTCCAATTGCTTTTGCTGTGAGTCAAGAAGTCTCTGTCTTTTGCTATTTAACCACCAAGGCCGCAGCAATCAGCACTCACGTACTGAAATTATTATGTTATTATCACGAATGTCAGGGTTTCGTAGATCCTATATTAGTCTGTCATACAGACCCTGAAACAAACATATTTAAAAAGACCATGCAAGTCTAAATTATGAGGCAAGTCTAGATTTCCACTGAAAATGAAGAGAGTCTCAGGACTCCTTTTCATTATATTTTATTTGTTTTATTATGAACTGTTTGTTTCTGTAAAATATGTTCATTTCAGAGACACGTTGTTAGTCTACAGGAGACTAGTTGTTAGTCTAATCTTATATCAGCAACACGAGTAGCGGTTTTTACCTCAGTCATGTATGTGCGAATACTGTTGACACAATGTTAAAATACCCGTCCGCGGCCTGTCACGGTTGAAAAAATTCATGTGGGGCTGTTATGATTGCGAAAGGCGCCTGTGTAACCGGTATATCATGACATGTAAAGTGACAAACACCCATCTGCTGAATAGGCGCATTAGTTACATAGGATCATTCACGCACGTAGATGTCATCTTGACATTTTGTACATCAGCGACCTACATTGCATGCTGTTTGTTAAGACATGTCTAAGACTCGATTTGTTTACGAACAACATCGTACAGCTGTAATACTGCTGAAACAAATGTATGCTGATGATATTGTCACAGTTGTACAATCGACTCTGCTTTAGCAGAGATTTCTTCTGGATGTGGAAAGGGTTTTGTCGCTTCTAATATAATGTGATGCATTGTACCTTTCGCTCCACTTGGGCAACATGGGTTACATAAGTGTTCACGCGACAAATATTCGTTGTTGTTGACGTCGTTGTTTCATATTTTCTCTTCATTTCATTTAAATGCCACTCAATACCTTTCCCCCGTCTAAACTGCGTCTGAAAACAGTAAAATGTTGGCCAATTTGTAGAACAAAACACTAGCTCACAGAGAGATTTGCCAGACTGCACATGCTAGGAGAGAGAGCGTGGAGTGTGAGTCAAATACCTGTTTATTACCTCGTTAATAAATCCCGTTCGACCTTGGTTCACAATCGTCGCAATGGATTCAAATACAGCGGATGTCACAAGTCACAAGGTATTCCACAAAAACTTTAAGTGCTGCCTCTCACCCAACCCGTCTCCTTCGTGCTTTTCTTAGCTCCTCGCAAAAGTTTGATTCTCATGTTTGCATCGTCTTGGCGATAACAGAAGAAATGCAAGTCATTGTGAGTACGTTCAAATGTCGTTGGATATTTACCCAAGCGTTTTCTTAAGAACTGGTGTTGTCAAGGTGAACTTAGTTGAGTGCTGTTCGACAGAACGCTAGTTGACAAGGCCTTGCGTCCGTGATCGTGAGTTGTATACGATTTTTGTTTTATACATTAGCATGCACCAATATCCACTGTAGATGTACAGATATATTGCTGACATTTTTTATGATCATAGATTATTCATTAAAGAATTTCAGTGTTTTTCGTTATATTTTTGTCAAGGTGCTGAGAAGGCTTTTTCAAGATGGCGGACAAAGTACCATCTATACGTCTGAACAGCGGCTATGACATGCCTATGCTTGGCATAGGGACCTTCAACAGTTTCCGGGTGGGTAGTTGAAGCTATTATGTCCAAATATTACCCGTTCAATTAAAACAAATATAGGTAGATTTCAAAGTCGTTTAAGTTAGTATTGTATTCATTGTGGTTGGGGTCCTCACCTAATAATCTGACAATCTGACGTTGACTGTAGACCTTCAGGTCTGTGTGGACTGTAGACCTCCAGTTTCATGTTGACTGTAGACCACCAGTTTCGTGTCATCTGTAGACCTCCAGTTTCATGTTTCATGTAGACCTCCAGGTAAATGTTGACTGTAGTCCTCCAGGTAGATGTTGACTGTAGACCTCCAGGTAGAAGTTGATTGTAGACCTCCAGGTAGATGTTGACAGTAGACCTCTGGATAGATGATGACAGTAGACCTCTAGGAAGATGTGTGGACAATAGACCTCCAGCTAGATGTGGACCGTAGACCTCCAGCTAGATGTGGACTGTAGACCTCCAGGTAGATGTTGACAGTAGACCTCCAGGTAAATGTGGAGTGTAGACCTCCAGGAAGATGTTGACTGTAGACCTCCAGGTAGATGTTGACAGTAGACCTCCAGGTAAATGTGGAGTGTAGACCTCCAGGAAGATGTTGACAGTAGACCTCCAGGAAGATGTTGACAGTAGACTCCCAGGTAGATGTGTGGACTGTAGACCTCCAGGTAGATGTTGACAGTAAACTCCCAGGTAGATGTGTTGAGTGTAGACCTCCAGGTAGATGTGGACTGTAGACCTCCAGGAAGATGTTGACTGTAGACCTCCAGGAAGATGTTGACAGTAGACTCCCAGGTAGATGTGTGGACAGTAGACCTCCAGGTAGATGTTGACTGTAAACTCCCAGGTAGATGTGTTGAGTGTAGACCTCCAGGTAGATGTGGACTGTAGACCTCCAGGAAGATGTTGACTCCCAGGTAGATGTGTGGACAGTAGACCTCCAGGAAGATGTTGACTGTAGACCTCCAGGTAGATGTGTGGACAGTAGACCTCCAGGTAGATGTTGACTGTAGACTCCCAGGTAGATGTGTTGACTGTAGACCTCCAGGTAGATGTGGACTGTAGACCTCCAGGTAGATGTGGACTGTAGACCTCCAGGTAGATGTTGACTGTAGACCTCCAGGTAGATGTAGAGACTGTGTGTGTGGACAGTAGACCTCCGGGTTACGTGATGACTGTGAATTTCAGGTAAGTCGATGTAAATCTAGACATCGGGGTAGATGTTTACTCTAGAATTCGAGGATCGAATGCCTACAGGTAGATGTGGACTGTAGACCTCCAGGTAGATGTTGACTGTAGACTCCCAGGTAGATGTGTGGACAATAGACCTCCAGGTAGATGTGGACTGTAGACCTCCAGGTAGATGTGGCCTGTAGACCTCCAGGAAGATGCGGACTATCGATCCCCAGCAAGATATTGACTGCATGCCACTCTATATTACTCAAATTTTGATAAGGATCTTCCTAACATTCAATGACACAATAAACAGGTAGCATAAAATTTGGAACATATTCACCAGAAAGATTCAGTTTGTTGTAATCCCTGTCAGATGTATCAATAATTGTGGGATATTTGTATTCCCAGTACGCACCTTATCAGCCAGTGCAACAATGAATGTTCGTGTGAGACTTCAGGATTCAGTTGTCACGGCATGTCAGCTTTAGTTTGTTGGAGGCGATTATGGTTGCACTCATTTACCATTTCGGTCTCAGCCTATGAACCCGGTTATGATTCTGACATAATTTGGGGAATCTGGAATTTGAATCCACGCATCATGACACGACAAAATGTGGCAACACTGCATAGCCCCCAACATGTAACATATAGATTATCAATTCTTTTTCTCCAACAGCAAAACGAGGTTGGTGACGCCGTAAAGGCTGCAATAGAGATTGGATACCGCCATATTGACACAGCCTGGCTCTATCAAACGGAACCGGAAATCGGGGTCGCCATTAAAGAACTGATAAAAGAAAGTAAAGTAAAGAGGGAAGAGCTTTTCATTGTGACAAAGGTAGGAAGACTGGCTTGCTTCCAGTATTGCTATGTTTATCATGTAGTTCTCTCCACATAACACTGTGAAACCTCGTTATAAGATTTTAGGATTAAGAAAACATGGGTATACGGGGACGGTGGGGTAGTCTAGGGGTTAAAGCGTTCGCTCTTCACGCCGAAGACCTGGGTTCGATTCCCCACATGGGTACAATGAGTGAAGCCCTTTTCTGGTGTCCCCTGTCGTGATATTGCTGGAATATTGCTAAAAGCGGCGTAAAAACAAACTCACTCACGCAGAATTGGTTTCCGGACTAGCAAAGGTTCCGTTTTGATTCGTACATTCTCTAGCTACCTACTGAGTACATATCTCTTTAGTTTAAGCAACATACCAAGTGTGTATTAATTATAATTAACGAGGTTTGACAACGAACTAGATGTATGTGTTGTTTTGTGAGTGATCAGTGGTTTGCCAGACCACGTAAACAATGTCAAATACAAATATATAATGACGGCCCAAAAACTTTTAACACTTAAAAATAGAAACAAAGCTAAAACTGTAAAATCTCACGCATAATTGATGTAAAACATATTGTACCTGGCTACATTGTGTCAATATTGTAATGAGACATTAGAAGTGCAAATTGTTGTTGTATATATGTTTTGGCTATGTATGTCTAATGTCCCTTAAAGGCACAATGTCATGCATTTTAGACAACATTTTGTGCCTATATTGGGGCTAATACACTCACTGAAGCTTCCTATTGATGCAATAAAAGACTCTTTATCCCTTACGACTTGCCTGAATTCAATAATTGAAACTTTGAGGCGAACAGCTTCCAAACAGAGAACACTTGCCATATATGGAATGTAAACAATTGCTGCGTACATCGAAAACTGTCGCACGCGGTGTTGCAAGTTGTGTGTACTAGGATATTCGTAAAGAGCGCCCCAAGGGAGATAACTCTATGGGGTTCGCTTGAAATGATGTTCGTCCGGTCGAGGGCGCGAGAGTCGATTTAACGCAATGTTACACTAATTGATTCAAACTTTTTAATTCAACATTGTAATGTAAATGTTTAAGCCCCCTATATTTCAGATCCTTAGCAAGGATTAACTATATTTTAATATCGAAAAAATGGAAACAGATTTTAATCTGTAAAACGTTATCGTTACTAACAGTGAGTCCAATACTACCCAAAACCGTTTTGATTCAACAGCACGTTGGCTAACTGCATATTTCGATGACAAAGATATAGTTGACTATACGCCAATATATTTGTATGTATTCACAACTGACAGTTCTGTACCTTTTAAAAACCATTTTTCTCAAGCTGCTAGTTTTCCGCCTTTTGTAATACCATTATATTGGATTTACTCATATTTACATTTAGACAAAATTGTGTCTATCTTTTCAAGTTTATAAACTAGACTAAATTGAAACAATGGTAAAGTCTTTATGCCGTTAGTTTTTAACAAACACAGTGCGTCATAACGACAATACCCTTTCACAACAGCGTTAAGTGTACGTCATCATTCAGGCGTGTTATCATTGCAGATGTGGGTTCACTGTCACGAACCAGATCAGGTGGAGCCAGCGTGTCGGATGTCCCTGGAGGCCCTAGACATGGATTACATAGATCTGTATCTCATACACTTTCCAATTGCTTTTGCTGTGAGTCAAGAAGTCTCTGTCTTTTGCTATTTAAACCACCAAGGCTGCAGCAATCAGTACTGACGTACTGAAGTGTGATATGAAATTATTAAAGTATATATGTAGCGAAATGTTGAAATAATAACTACTGGTTGGAAAACAGGTGGACATACAACACATGGAGTTTGCTTGTGGGGTGCTATTAAAGTCTGACCTTTCCATAAGGGCACAAGTTGATAATCTGTGCAATACCTGTTACAATCACATTCCTATCATAAGCACAATCAGGAAATGCATCGCCAAAGAAAATGCACATAAACTTGTTAGATACCATATATCCGCCTCAGTAAGTTGATGCTCTGGAGGATATGTCTCTAATCAGCACACAAGACCGTCTTGGGGTCCACACGATTTATTCTGGTAGTTACAAGGGGTGGCTCTGGACTCTGAGTTTCAGTCCGGACTGCCCAGCACTGATGGTTCACAATTATTTATACCTTCTATTAATTAACATAGCTGACATTCCTTGCCCGTACCCGGCTTTTCCCCCATTCCATGTTTGGTGTAGGTCCCTGTGGTCAGTTTGTGTCTTTCGCCATGGTTATGTCTCCCCCCATCGGATTCTTGACCGATGGGGAAGGGGTGACTCATGTCGCCAATTCCAGTTCCCTAATACGGAGACCGATCCGTCATTCTTGCCTCTGATACTTGTTGTGTCACGTCGAGCTTTCTAACTGGGCAGCCAAAGGAATTCGAACAAATACTAAAGCTCCATTGAGTACAGACTACTGACGACCGGGTTTTTCCCCTCACTCTGTTATGAAAACTGTTCATTGGCTTCCTGTTAAGTTCCGTATTGTCTTTAAGGTTCACTGTGTACTGTTGATGTCTCAACAATCTAGTTCCAGAATATCTCATATACCTCTCCTCAGCCAGAACTCTCCGTTCTCAGGATCAGCATCTACTTTCCGTTCCACCTCTCTCGTGCTTTGGAAAGATGAATTTCACGGTCTATGGAACTTTCTACCACTACATTTGAAATTCTCCCGCTCTCTTCATCGTCTAAAAACAATTTAAAGACACGCCACTTTAAAGTTGCGATTGATTTGTACATTCCATGCACATAGTTTTATTGCGCTATGAGAATGTTTATTATCATTGTTATTATCTGTTAGTTCAAATCACATCATCTGTTCGTGTATGTGTTTCCCCAGGACGAGGAGATGACCAAGCCGACCATGACGGACTACCTGGACACGTGGAGAGTAGGTAGCCTCCAGGGATGAAACACTAAACTATTAGGCGATACTTACATTGCACGGAGTAGAAAGTGAAAAAATATATTTCGTTACAAATGCAGAAAATTGTCAATTAACGGCTTTGACGAGGTTTTCCACACAACAGATCCAACTCTAGGCTGTCACTACATTGCACAATTCAAAATGTTGTCCACACAACTGATACTACACTGTTGTAGAATGCACAATTTAGGTGTTTGTGAAGCTGCTCTGTGTTCATATAGATTTAACGATTACATTGGCCGTGAAGAGACTTGCACTCTACTGATAATGTGGTCAATAAGCATGGCAAAGAGGAAGAGATTGTAATGCTGAGTTGTAGATTAGTATTGGACGCAATACCTTTGTTTTTAAGAAAACGAAATAGCTTGAAAAGCTAGAAAATCTCAATATCAAATAAAATAATCAATTCTGTCTGTCTGCAAAGAGCACTTGGTTAAAAATCCTAGATGTGTCCATGATCTCGTGATTACTCTTTTCTTACGCTCAGAATAAATAACCTGTTGTATGAACAAACATATTATGTCATCGGTATTATGCATCTGCTTTCACAGAATCTCTGTATGTGATAATATCATTTTAACACCACTCTCCTCCCCAACAGGCCATGGAGAAGCTGGTGGACAAGGGCTTGGTCAGGTCTATCGGCGTCTCCAACTTCAATAAACAACAACTGGAGAGGATACTCAAAATGGAGGGTCTCAAGTACAAGCCTGCGAACAACCAGGTAGATATTATTTGTTAAATATGACACCATAGACTTTCCCTTTGTATGCTTCTAATATGCCCTGAGCCACTTCAGGATTTCCCCCTTGACAACATATGTGGCATACTGTTCAAAACGTCGTGAAAACCTAGCTAAAGACCTGGCATAGTGTTGTTAACGACGTTGTTGTTTTCAGGTGGAGATATCACCATATCTGGCTCAGGAAGAACTTCTACAGTTCTGTCTCAAGAACGGCATCTCAACCACTGCCTTTGCTTCATTCGGGGCGCCGGGACAGAGCTAGTAAGTTCAGTCATATTCTCCTATATCGATGTGACAATGTTCTGTCGAACTCCGGAAACACATTGACTACCACACCTGGAGCAGTGAGGTTATAGACGTTGAGCCCAAATTTGAATTGATGGTTAACCTAGAAGTCGAAACTATGTGCAAGATCAATAAAGAGGGTTAACAATTCATATTGAAACGCACTAGATTTGGCTTTGCATTTACAATAATATATGGCAGCAGCAATACACATGTTTGTATATACAAATGCATACGGAAGGCCCCCATTAAATAAGTCTCAGGATGTTCCAGTATGTTTCACAGTCGCACATGCTCCGTTTTTTTTAAAATAGTGTTGGAAACAAGTCTGTTTTAGGATCAGTATCGGTGTCCCTGAAGAAGCACTCATTTATAGGTACACCATCTTTTACGAGCGCTTCAATTTGCGAACTTCGTTACACAGAACAGTTAAGCAAATGTCGATATCTGCATGGAAGGGCACATTGCTGATTCCTGCCTTCATATATTTCAGTATAACCAAGGATGCTCCAAAGACCCTTGAAGACCCGACCATTGTCGACATTGGAAGGAAATACAACAAATCTACAGCTCAGGTATACTGCTCTATAAATAATATGCCAAAGAGTAGTATATGCATATATCTTGCTTATACCATAACTTTGGGAAGTGACTACTTCCGATTGGTCAATCAGAGGTTACAAATCACAGTAATGACATATGTTGACAGTGACTTACTAATGGTTCAAATGGTTTAATGCAGTATAATTCAGTGACATATGCAGCAGATTGCTGTATTAACAAACAAGCCAATAAATGAAACTTCAGAAAGTATTGCAAATTTAAAAAGTAATAAATCTGCCGGTGAAGATAACTTGATTCCTGAATTCTTTAAAAATTCATCCGAAATCCTCCTCCCCTACCTTGAAATCCTTTTTAACGATATGGTTGAAAAGTCTAAGGCTTTGGGGATTGTAATTCCCTTGCACAAACAGGTATCAACTAATGACACCAACGATTATAGGGGTATAACTCTTTTGAGTGTTTTCAGTAAGATTTTTACCAGTATTATAAATAGACGTTTAGTATTTTGGGCCGATTCCTTTGATAAGATGGATGAAGCACAAGCCGGTTTCAGGCACGGGTACCCTACAACTGATAATGTCTTTATTTTGCAGACACTTGTGCAGAAATATTTAGCCCGAAAGGGAGAAAACAATGTATGCCATATTTGTAGATTTTGCTAAAGCGTTCGACTCCTTTAACAGAAACATGCTGTGGTCCCTTTGTAAATCTCAAGGTATCAGTACTAAAATTGGTAAATTATTCACGATGGTTATTCACGATGTACTATTGATGCTAAATCCTTCGACGGATATATTTTGTTATTACTTCTAACCCAAACTTTTCTCATATGCACCAGGTGATCCTCAGATGGGGCATGCAGAGAGGTTTTGCTTTGGTTCCCAAGAGTACGAATCCTGCTCGTCTGGCCCAGAACATGGATGTGAGTGTTTGCTCTCTTTGTGAACTTAGTAACAACATGTGTTGTACGACTGCCGTGAACCTGATGTTCGCAAGAGAACACAAGCGAAAGACAACTGAAATGGTTTCTTTCCGACATTGAAAGAATAAGAAATCAGATTCCTTGTGATTCAGACGAAATGTTCGCTCATCACATTTAAAATGAAAGCATGATTTACATGTCGTTTTAACGTATCAATTGTACGTGTTTCAGGTATTTGACTTTAAGCTCAATGAGGAGGATATGAAGGCAATGTTAGCTCTGGACAGAGGCTACAGAATCAACGTTCACAAGTACAACACGTAAGCACTGTTATAGAAATAGGCGATGTTCGTATGAGGATTGTCTCGATAAGATTGACATTTACTGTCTGTGCTGGGACAGTGTCTGAAGCCCATTTCTGGTGTGCCCCGACGTGATTTTTCTGGAATATTGCTACAAAAGGAGTAAAACTAAAACTCACTCACCCATACTCACATCATTGAGTGACTCGGTTTGGCTTAACGCTACTCGAAACAGTATATCACGATGTATCCGGTTGGGATTAATGCATGTCTTGGTGGTGCAGGTCTCGCCACCATGGTGAAACCACCGCTTGCCCAAGGGACACCACATCGGAGAATTCCGGCACTTCAGAAGACTATGCCACCAAGATCCTCTTATAACAGCGATATACATCATACTGATATTTCCCCCAAAGCAGTCGTTTCACGTAACGCCGATATTGGCATAGGATAGTCGTGTCATTAGCCGACTTGAACGTCGCACACACTTTCGTCCAATGAACTGTCATCATTCCTGTGTTCCAGATGGAAAGATCATCCCTTCTATCCCTTTGAGAAGTGAACTAGCACGGCACGGAAGATCACACAGTCAGACAATCGACGACGGTCAGAGTATTGTCTGCAACTGTTGTCCCTTATATTTGTGTGATCGTCTTCAGTGTGGAACAAACACACGTTGAATATAATTACAGGTGTGTCATAATGATGTTGCATAATTACGACGAAAGATGAATGTAAATCACGTACATACTGATTCATTCATCGGTGTAATGATGTAGCATTTTGTTCTTGATTGCTTTAATGCCTGGATTTAACGTATTGCAAAATTAAAGCATTCATAAGATTCAGATGGACAAAGTAGGAAAAGGGTTACTGTTGTCTGGCCTAGGTTAGATGATGGCAACGTAAATACAAACCTACAGCTTACCATAATCTAATCAAGGTCAGTCAACAGTAACCCTCTCCCTACTTTGCCCATCTGGCTTCATACCTATCATCTGTAATCACAACTATCAGTAATGTAATCACGATGTACATCAACTTCCTCAATTGTATTAACTCGAATGTCCTTCATGTACATATTCCCAAACTTGCTATTAAAGTGGTGTTGTGCTTGATGATGTGTTAGTGTTTGCAGAGAAACAACGTCGCATCTATTGCAAGGACTTGTCATTTCATAAAACTTCTTTTTCGCCCCAAATCTAGTCCTGTTATTGCTGACATAGTGCTTGTGTCATCCAACATATATGGCTTCATATTTTATTCATATACAACTGGGCATATTTTGGCATATGGTTGGTAAGACAGCAGTGTGTGGAGTTTCCGGCTCAGCATAAATCAGGTAAGCGGTGCGCCAGCTCTACCTCAGGGCGTTTCGTAAGAGCGGAACATCCTGCTCGTGGTCGTCATTTACACTACACTAGCAGTCGAAATACCAGACTGCCTGACAGTGAGTATGGCTTTAGTACCCATACGGGGAATCGAACTGGGCTCGTGGCGAGCGGACGCTTTAACCACTAGGCTATGCTACAGCCCTGCCTCACAGTATATATGTAAAATTAACAGTATATATATATATAATTATATATATCTGAAGACAACCTTGGAGAGACGAAGAAACAACATATAAAGTTATAGTGGCATTTGCAAGGAAGTGTTGATGTGATGACACACAGTCAAGGGTATAGCTAATTAAGGTCATATGAGGCATAATACAACTAACATTAAGGAGACAGAGTGGCATGGGCTTGCTGACAATGTACAATGCACTGGTGATGAGGATTGAGAATGGGGATTAGAATATAGAATTGATTGTAATTAAGGTATACATGTCTTGGCAACATTTTGGGGGATTTGGAAATTATTCGGACAATGGCTGTCCTGGAACAGTCCATATGCCAATACCTTTAAAGCAAATATCTTTTGGGCATCTGTGTGATTTGAAGTAGCTATTTTACAGTTGCCTTTTGACAGTTCATCAAACTTATCTAATAGCACAGTTCAATTCCTCCGTACCAGCAGGAATGAGGTGTCTGAAGTTTGTCATGGATGTTTCTCCTCATTATATAGTTGGGATTATATCAAACTCACCTTGTTGAAAATAGTTTTAGAATCAAAGTTAACAAAATCTGAAATACAGTATGTGAGTTACAGAAAAAAAGATAAAGTCAACAGAGCTTCCATTTCTGTTGGTAAGTAAATTAAGAAAAAACCAACATATATATTGTCGAGAGTATACTTATAGGTGGAACAGCTTTCCTGGTTCAGCCTGCTCCCGATGTCTATTGATTTGTTGCTGGATTTCAAAGATGCATGTGGGTACAAAAGTAGTTATGGATTTCCTGATTACCTCCAAGCCAAGGCTCGAAGCCACTCACGAGGAAATACAAGTGCTCAGCGTCCCATACACCTTCAATATAAACACAAACACTATCTTTCATAGTATTCACAATCAATTCGGATTTACGTTAAGCATTATTTAGTTATAAAGCATAAACATTATATAGACATTTATCTTGTAAAACGTATAAAACTGTATAAGGTTAATATACGTGTTTGTAATATTTGTGTTCTTATATCAGATTGGTATATTTTTAATAAAAGTAAACCCCCACACTTTTGTCTTGTTCCTGAATTATTGATCACTCACTGATCTTGTGTGGCCATTTACAGTCTAGGTTTTTCGGTCAACCCAGAAATCGGAACCGAAGTACCTAAACTGTTCATCTTAAACTGATGGAAGTCTGGAGTAAATGGGATGTTTCGGTAATATTTACTTCACTTATAGTAACTTATAAGTATATACTTATACTATTAGTTATTTATTACATGGGTGGGTGGGCTAGAAGTGAGAGAAAAGTATTACTCAACCCTATTTCTTGTCACGTATTTTGATGCCCTAATTGACGCAAAATATATTTCGGATTATTCTTGAAGTTACAACCTCGAAATATCTATGCCTCATCATGGATGTCAGAGTTTCGAAGATACAGCCACATGAGTAGTGTTTTTTTCCACCTTAGACGTGTATGTACGAGTACTGTTGACACAATATTCAAATAACCGTCATCAGCATGCAGCGATAGCGTTGACACGCCTGACAAATACCTGTGGGTGGTACACGTGGGTGACGGGTAACTGCGGAAGGTAAGAGGCTGTGACGAAACGGTCTGTGTGACTGGTATGTTGTAGCATTTACACTGATAATAATGCACTAGTATAATGGTCTATATTTATTGCATGTCATTTTCGTGACACAGATAGTTTTCGTCCAGCACTAATTGTCATTATTGACATTGAAGTACCATGACCTTAGCATCCGTGCAAGGGACGTATCACACATGTCTACGTAAGATCACATTCCTCCGCCTGACGTTATCAGTCAAGTGCCAGGTTCATTAGACTGCCGAACGTCGAAGTGCAATACGGAATTCTCCTATGCTCGCGGAATTGCACGGCTGTTTTGTTATCGTAATATTAAACATGTATGTAATAAAAGTTACAAACGTGTTCACGCAACGACCATTTGCTGTTGTCGTTGTGTCTTATCTTTATTCACATTCAGTGGCAATATGTACTGTTCTCAGCCCACATTGCGTTAGAAAACATTTATATGTTGGCCATATCGGTGGCTAGTGCTAATTTTAGATGGTTTCCGATTTTATGAATTCTGTTTGATTTTGGATCATAATCGTCATACGGCGATGAGTAAAGCTTCACACATCCTTCAACTGTTCCCAATCCGTGAAATAGACTTTAAAAAAATCCCACACTTTCCCAATCCGTCTCCCTGTGATTTGTTCTTAGCCCCTGTGAAAGTTTGATTCGCATGTTTCGATCGTCTAACTCAGAAAATGCAAGTCACGGAGACTACGTTAAAAATGTGAAGGACAATTACCCAGCGTTAGATATGTTTGCAGTTTGAGTATGATTTTGTCAAGGTGCTGATAGATCCTTTTCAAGATAGCGGACAAGTATCTTCCATAGTCTGAACAGAGGGTAAGACATGATTTTGCTGGTTTAGGGACCTTCAACAATTTCCGGTTGGAAGTTGAATGTCCAAATATTACCCGTTCAAATAAATCAAATGCAAATGCATTTCAAAAGCGTAATTTAGTACAGGTGCATGTTGACTGTAGACTCCGGGTAGATGTTGACTTGAGACCTCTGAGTAGATATTGATTTTAGACATCCAGGTTATTGTTAGCTGAAGATTTCACGGAAGATCTGGGGTGATCAGTAAGTGCAACATAAATGTTCGTGTGTGACATGAGGTTCGGAGCAGATGAAATTTGCATTCACTCACGTATCATTTCGGTAGGGTATGACTGCCAAAGGATCATAATCGGGAGGAATTCGAATACACGGATCCTGACAAGACAAAGGATCTGTACAACCTCGAAGATGTAACACAATTTTAAATACTGTTTCCCCAGATTTTGTGAAAGATAATGCCTGCGTCACATCATTTGCCATGTCCTCCAACGACATTGAATCGTATTTTAACATTTCTGCAATATTGTCATATTGTATTGATAGTGAAATGTATCTGCCAGGATTGTCAGCCAAATGTATTGACAGGGAAAGTAGCTAACAACGACCCAGACCTCAAAACTAATGAGTTGAATTCGATGGATGGTGCCAAGAAACCATGTGTCAATAAGGATAAATCCGATGTTGATATTTGGCTGTAAACAAATTGGAACGAAGATAGATTTTTGTGAATACTAATACAAACAAACGGACAGATCACAAGCTACTTGAAACGACCAGAATTCCACTGCTCGGTTTCTACGGCTTCATTTCTGTAAATGGGTACCCGGACGGATGTGACGGTAACGTGAATGTTAACCTTCTAGCGCCTGATAAGCAGATCGGAATGAATATCATGCTCACGCTGATCCATTTGCCCATGTAATAATGTTAGCACATGGAGCGAGCGTCATACCCGAGTCCGCTCAGTGTTTTTTGACATTTCAGTAGTGTATACGCCATCGAGTTGAAAGTGACACGAAGCGCAATATTTTGAATGTGTGTTGTGATTATGAATTTTGTTGTGATTATGTATTGGAAACTGACAACTGCACTTCGAGTTTTGATGATTATCCAACTGCGTAAACAACACGGATGTACATTTCCTGAGAGATTCTATTTGACAAGAGGAAGGGCATAGATTGTTTACTGTCGTCGTGCGGATTTTGTGAACCCCTCCACGCACGGTCATCTGTGTTCGTTACACTTTTCGAAGAAGTGCTGTGAAAGAGACGAAATATGGATACGAATAGGCAAAACTTAAACTAGTAGTCTTATATGGTAGTATATTTGCTTATAGTCATGGAGTGTCTCTCTCCTTGCAAACTTTCTGCCACTCTTCAATGTTTGTATTTTCAAACATGCTTGTACATCTCTAATCAGACAAATTACATCTGATTGTGTATACTATTGGCCTTTTGGTATGCCTATAGCCATATGTGCCTTTCTTGAACTTTGCATCTCAAACAATCATATTAACTAAATTATATCTGACTTTATGTATCACTGGCATACAACCATGAAGTTTACTTTCTTCGGTAAACATTGTGCCATTCTTGAACCAGCTTGTATAACTCTAATCAGATAAATTATATCTGATTTCATACAGCAGTTTTATATATACTGAACAAGATAAGTTAGGGATATTGTTATTTTTATGATTGATATTTTATCAGTGTGTCAATGAATAAATAGATCATCATTCATAATTTCAAAATTTACATATATCCCTAACTATGTTTGTCCAGTATAGCATTGGCTCATTGCCACAGCTACTCCCCCTTTAACCCCCCCCCCTCCCTTTATAAACAGTGTGCCTGGAACATTATTTCAAACAAATCTGGTACAGCCATAGAATTCCTTCCTTGTGCTTTCAATGTCCATCTCCTTGAACTTTGTTATGAAGCCTGTACAACATGCTGATGACTGTCTTTAGCCATGTGAATGTACCTATTATGCTGGAATAAAAAAACAAACAATAAAATAAAAAAAATAAAAACAAACAAATAGAAAACAAACTTAAACTTAATAAGGATGCTATATGTCGGGCATTCCTTTCGACATTCCAAACAAACACAGAGGCCGAAATGTCAACTTGGGACTGAGACCGAGAGAGTTGCATTCCGGACGCGACGTTGGTTGCAGGTGAGTTTTAAGATGTAGT